GGTCCTGCCAAAGGCGTATACATCTTGATGACACAAATAAAACCACAACTTAATACGGTAGATACATACAACGGTAATAAATGAAAGAACTAACGGAAAGGAAAGGAAAGGAAAACAATAACAACAATGTTTCATGGACAGATCGATACTTTTTTAACAGAATTTTTTTCCCGTATTGGTAAGGTAAAAAAAAAAAAAAAAAAAAAGAAAGGAAAAAAACGCTGTTTTTACTTAACAGCTTCCCGGTGAAAAAGAAAGAAAATTTCCCACCTCAAAGGATGGCAAATACCCGCACAAACCTTTATCCTATTTATGAAACCTGACACTGACATTCAAGCGGCCGTTATGAGTGTTCAACGGTGAATGTGTTCAACGGAAAGAGTACCCTAAGGCATACACGCGCACACACACACACACACACAAGAACCTAAGCAACGGGCAACGCGCAACGAAATTACATTAACATACATTTCGTCACTGCGATACATATATTTTCTTATATATTAAATGTCTCTAGAGCACTTTAACATAAACCTAAAGAGCCGCACGTACAAAAATGATTCCCAGTTAAAAAGGATGTCACTACAGATGATTTAAAAGAGGGAAACGGAAATAAAATCCAACTGCGTTTGAATTATTTTGTTATGTTTAAGTATAAGCAAATATGTGTACACTCTTACTTACAAGTACATGTACATCTAAGTCATTTTCTCTGCGATAAATATTTTTATTGAAATTTTACCTAAATGAAATTCACATGAAATAGAAATGTCAACGGCAAACAATCTTCTTATATGCAATACAGTCTGTCCATCTGAAGAAAATATCGGCAAATATCGAAAATTTTTAAATTAGACAACGATTTCAATTCAATTTCTATTAAACTAACTGAAAAGCGCTCTATAGAGTACAAGAATTGTTCAGTTTGTTAAAAGTTTGTTAATAATTTCAAATTTACTAAATTCCTAGCAATATTATCTTAAAAAATAAGCACATTTTTCTAAATTTATATGAAATCAATAAAAAGATATGCTAGGTTATTAGGCTTATAGCTTATAACCTAGCTTAACCTAGCTAACCTAGCTTAGTAAAAAACCTCAGAGACCTAAGAGATCGCTTTTTTGAAAGTAACGAGATATTAAAAACGTGGTTGGGTGAGTGAGTAGCTCCTTATCCAAATGCAACAGGTTATTTTATAAGAGATAACGTGCTCAGACGCCGCTGGTTATTAAAAACGACATTTTGTGAGGTATCAGATGACCAAATGTAGTAAGTTATTGGGAAGGTTGAGTGAGCGACTTCGTATCAAACTGCAGCGAAATGGGATTGGGTAAGTGGCCTCATAACCTAATGTAGCAATTTATTGAAAATGAGCGTTGTGTGCGGCGTCCCCTATCTGGCTATGTGATTTTTGAATTTCGAGATGCTTCCCAAAGCAAGTAGGTTTTCTCTGTTGAAAGTATAGGATAAAAAGAGCAAAATTTTGCTGGCGATTTGGGTCAACATTTGGACTTTGCCATTATTTGTGGAATATAAAACACACCTAGGTGTACAGCATGGGTGTACAGAAATTGTTAAAACTTATTACGAAAACGAAGAGCCCTCATGTACGTAGGACAAAGTTCAAATTTGATTAAATTCGTTCTATAGAAAACACGTCTAATAAGCTTAAAGGACCGTTACGTGTACAAAAAGAACTTTAGGATTTGGCTTGTGGCCTAAAAACGTCATGACGTTACAGCTCATACCGTCAATTAGGAGCACTGCAGAAACATGGCAACCGATCTTTGTGGCAAAAATTAGATAATTTCGACGTGGACAATAGACGGCTTCAACAAAATGGTACAACATGGCATATATTTCCTGACAAAATCAATTTATTGGCAGAAAAGTTCAATGGTCGTGTAATCTCCAAAAATGCTGAGCTTGACACCACTGAGCTAACCAACAAACCTCAATGACCTTGTTCACCAAGATTATCCGCGTTATTGGTGAAATAAGAACAGATTTATGTGGAAACGTAGCAAAAATTGCTTGTCCAAGATTGAATTTTCACAAAGGAGCGACGGAAGATGAAAATTGACATAAACATTGAACTAATCCCTGAAATAAAAAAAAATTCTTGTTGACATTTTTTTCTGTTTACTTTTAAGGAAAATACATTTACTTGATGACCCCCAACCCAAGCTCGAAAGTAATGGAAACTGAAATATTTACAATTATTATTGACTTTTATTGTCGATAGATGTCTTCAACAATAGCATTGCGGATTAAAGCGGTTGTAAATACAGATTCAATTCAAATACATTTTGCAACTTTTTGGCATTGTAGGCACACAAAATTCATTCTGTAGGGGGCACAGTTCCCTACTTATTATTCAGGATTTATATCTGCCTTGTATTTATACATATTCATGAACCAAAAGCATACCAATGAGATTTGCTACGTACGACGAGTGCCTTTTTCATTCAAAGGATGTACACATTTTTGAGTGCATTTCAATTGCGATATTCATTAATTTCTCTGACGAAATTTTGTATGGTTGATTCAAAAACATTACAGTCGAATAACTTATTTTATGAAGGGGAGCAAATAAAAATATATGACGCTAGAGAGAATACATAATAACTGCATGAAAGGGCATAATTTAACTACAAAGGAGGCCGGAAAACTAAAGTTTTAAACTTGTACGTACGTGAAATTAAATCTAAGCGTATAAATGCATAAAGTATTAATTTTTTTGAGTAACATTTTTCTTCTTCTTTTATGTATGTGTGTTTAACATTATATAATTTCAAATCATTGAAACTTTAATGCACATGCTTAAGTCTTGTTAAACACGAAATGCGGTAGCTTACGGTGGAAACTTTGTCGTTTCGAAACGAAACAGTCATTAACTCATTTTCATACATCTTCAAGTTTGGGGAGCCACTGCATTGTGAAATATATGGTTTCATCAACTCGAACTTGTACTAACTTGAATGAAACAAGTGTAGAGAATACGCCGTAATTGGCAGTTGTTTCCATCCTATCTTGTAAATCTCCTTCGAACTTGGTTTTGCTGGAGACAAAGAGACGTACGGGATCATTTTCTAAATAAACATATTTGACAGTCTCATAGCTTACGGCATTTTCATTCCAGGCCGGCTTAACCTCTTCAGCTGCATTATTTTCCAGTTTTAAAACAGAAAACAAGGCAGTGCCATAAAAGACATTGTCCCTTTGCCCTTTGATATACACTGAAAGGCATTTTGTAAACTGGATCATATACCAAAGAAGCATTGAAGTCTAAGTTATCTATATTTGAAATTTCGACAAAGTTGAATGAGTCAAGTAGGGTTTATGAAGCCACCAATCAGTGCAGCTAACAAATATTCTTTACTTTGATCTTTGATTAAAGTCTCCTTAACTTTATCCTAATACACCGCTTGCTATCCGCTAAGCAATATGAGAGATTTCTATATAAAATCGATCCCATCAGGCGATGTTCACCGGAAGAAGTGTAGAGAGAGAAACAGAGACTGGGGACGCAGCTTGGGAGGTTGAATATCCTATGCCTTTACCAACCGCGCATTCACTATAGTTACGAAACCACGCTAATCGTAATCAAAGCATGGTCTATCGCATTGGGAATTGAACCCAGGCAAGCGGACTTGATAGCCGTACTTCTTAACTACTGGACTATGCCGTAGGGCAATATGAGCATGATATTGATCTTAAGATTTGATGTAAAGCCACAGACGTCGCGGACTACGTACTTTAGACATCAGCGTTCGGACAGACTAGAGATTAGTATCAGATGTCAGGAAAACATATAAAATCTGTTAAGCCTAGTAGACTGCTTGCTTAGCTATTCAATGGAATTTACAAAATGGTATCTATATTTAAGTAGGAAGTTGACATAAAACTTCTTTCCATACATAAATTTATAAGGAATAAACAACACATTTTGCACACACATGAAACAAGACTTGACGTGTATTCCTTACATACAACATATCTGCAAGGACGCGAATAAAATATATTCCACTGCTATGAACATAACACAGCGTTTTTGAAAGCTTTGATTTGAAAGCAAGCGTTGCCGAATCAAAGCTTCAGCTTGCTACAATGTACGCTAGGATATGCTTCGTGGCCATGTTGAAACAAGTCTTGCTCTTTGCGCTAAGGAATTTAGATTGGGATTCAATTGTCTCACTACCGACGTACAAAAATAGTTTATTAGTTACTATTGCTATAGCGTTACGTTCAGCTTAGCAGCGCAAGTTTGTCTCAAGGATTTTCTTCATTTTCTTTCAAGTTTGTTCATTATTCCCCTCTGTCCATAAGGGGAATTTCTTTTTATGAAGTCTAACCGATTCAATTATAAACTTAGGATGCTTTGTAGAAACTTAAATGATGCTGACAATGTATTATCTTTTTAACATCGGTGTATTCATGACGTAATGCTTATAATTGTTAATATCGCGCTCGGATCCGCCAAAATACTAAATTGCTTTAATTGCTTTCTAAGAATTATTTGAATTGTGTATAGGAGTCCCCATGACAGTGTGTACAGACGGCGTAGATTGTTCAACTGCTGGTAACTTTGATTTCAATGGGATCTCAATGTCTAATGATATCTTCAGTCCGGCGAACTTATCCAACGGATATTTAGAAAATTATGAATTCGCCGCAAATTACTTCGCCGATCGCTATATAAGCTGCGGCAATAGCTTATATAGCGATCTGAGTAATCGTCACATAATTCCTACGTTATGTAGTGAAATGCATACGATTGCGTAGCTTCAGTATGTTCTAGATTAATGGATAACTACTTCGCTTTAGGAGCATTTCTCTCATTCTAAAGTTAGGAAAAGAAAACTGTGGATAGGAATGATGCTAATAAATCAAATAAGACAAGAACTTATCATACTTTCAAAAACTGAAAGAAATTAAGAGTAAAAGCCATAAACAAGCATTTAGATGTATTTGTGCACTTATTATAAACTTAGTCTACATTTTTCATTATGGTCCTACAAAAAATTTGACTTATTACCGACATCAGTTGACATAGCGTTCTGATTGGAAGATGGACACTGTAATTGAAAGAATTCTGGCAAATCTGGTGACGAGATCAAAATACTCGTTTTGTTAGTTGGCCAGTATAAATCCACGCGATCGTATATGACCCCGGTAATATGTTGTTGTAAAAACCAATCAATGGATTCACGATCTTTGAAATCTGGACCCCAGAGGAAAATTTTTTTATTTTGCTTTAAAACCAATTGAACCCAAGATGGTTTCATTTTAATGAATCCCGTATGTTGAATAATGCCAATGAAATCAAACACTTGTGCTGTATTAATCGCTTCATAAATAGTATCTGACCGAGGATCCATATAATTAACTTCTAGAGAAGGTGTCAGGAACATAATAGGATACATATTCTGCTTGTAACGCAGCAGAGCGCCAATATCGGCATCCAGACAGGCGAGAAAACTAAAGCGACCACAACCATGTTTTAACATAACCTCCAATACACGATCGACGTAGAGATTTTTATCAATAGTTTGACTGCTCTCCCATGATCCATTTTTCAGTTGCTGAGGCCATTTAATTTCAATATTAAAAGCTAAAGACTTATTTACTTTAGTTAGAAAATCTTCAAAGCTTGGGAACAAACGTAAATTTTCATCTTCGACCGAATTATGAGAAGGAAACTCGATTATTTTCGTTCCAATCACTTGATAGGTTTTTAAATCTTTCAATTGCTCATAAGTAATATCTTTAAGAGATACCTCGGTAAGGTCTGATAAAATCTTAGGGGTTTTTGAGTGCTCGCATACATATATATTAAAATCATGATATATTATTGGTATTAGATCTTTGGTAAGAATCACATCAAATTCACCAATATCGATACCGAACTCAGCGGCAGCATTCATTGAGGCTAAAGTGTTTTCCACAGCGGGTGGAGCGTTGATAGTCTCTCGCAAAGATTTTCCCAAACCGCGATGGCCAGCCTCTAAACTTATCCAATTCGCACGCCAATACTCCATAAAGCTCGTATGAAAATCTACGTGTCCTTCCGCCAACGGCTTAATGATCAAATATTCAATAGTTAACGAACCCATCGCATTCAACCATACAGGCGATAGCAGTGTGAGTTGCAAGCTCCCAGCAGTGTCTTCCAATACAGACGGATATATATACTGATAACCAATAACGCGAATCGAATTATGACGAACATCTTCCGCATAAAGTTGAAATAGAAACGCTACATTTGGTAGCTCGCTAACCGCGGTATGGAATAGAATTATCGAATTTTCATCATAAGGAACGCCATACTCCGGCTGCGTTTTAAGAAAGCTATTCCCATACTCGTATCGCACATATTCACTAAAAGCCTTAGATGAAGGCATAATCGGAGTACGCCAAGCAGGATCAACTGGTTGCAATTTAATGCGCAGCTGTTGGCCTTCGGTTATTTCGATGGTCGAATTGTTTACTTGCAAAGGATTACGGAAGAGCTTAAATTGGACTATACGTCCGACGTTCAGCCAGCCTCGTTGAATTTCTCTCTGTTGCCCCGGATTATCGCCAATTAAACCAAATTGATCGCTAATACTGACATTGTTTATAGATAGACTTAACATACGCGGATGTAGATGAGACTCCCAACGTCTAATTTGCACGCCGCCTGTTTCCTGATCGACAGCCGCTATGAAGTAACGATAATTGATTGTAATGTTAACGGGCACTTGTAGTACAGTTTTCCATATTCCATATTCAGCCGAACGGTTGAGCAATATAGCTGCGTTCGCTTGCCACTGACCTAATTCCTTTAAATCGCCCACAATAGCTACTTGTTCAAATTCGTTCATTTCCACTTCCAGCAAACTCACGGAGAAATTCAGTTGCAGCTTAGATGGATGCTTCGATGGTACAACTCTGCGAGCCGAATAATATTTCTCGTAATATGAAGTTTCGCATCGTGTGGCGGTCGGTAAAGTTGTCAATATGCCAACCATAACCAGGATAGCAAGCAAATATTTCAGTAAAGACATGATTGCTTTCATTAAGCATAGAATTATATTCTCTCAAAGATGTGCACTCACGAGCACGTTGTTATAAAAAAAAAAGTTAGTTTCTTAGTTAAGCGATAGTTTATTGTCAATTCATTAGAAAACGCACTCATTTGCCGGCAAGCGTTGGTTTTTTTGTTTTATTGTCACTTGGTGAACACACAAAAATAAGTAAAACTTTAATTTAGTTCGGTTAAAATACTTTCGTTTATATTTTAATATTTCGAATGTTATCTAAATATATTTTCATAATTGGTTTTTCTCTCTATTCTATTATATTTTTATACCCGCCACGAATAGGTTAGGATAAAGCAAGTATGTCATAAGCCTTATGTTAATACATATTCCTGGTCAACATAAGATTCTGAACTGATAAATTTTTCAACGGTCCATAGGTCCGGCAGAGAGGCTTCAAAATTCAAAATTTATGATACATATCTGAAACTGTATGTGCTAGTTTGGACTCCGCGATGTTTAAAAATGGTTGCCACACCCCTTCTCAAAACAAATGTTCACAAAAGATAAAAATCCTAAACAAAGTCGAAAAAGAAAGCAACATATCCAATATGTTTTTAACAAATTTTCGAAACAATTTACAAGATACAAATCCCTGATCAGCGAAAAACTCAAAGTCAATTTAATAATCCTCCGTCCGTCCGTCATTCTTTGAAGCTGTTGCGGGACTACCGCTCAGGAATTCAGAGATTATAATAGAAAGTTGTAGCTATAGATGATTGGTGGGTTTCGCAATCCGCGTTCGAGAATGAACCCGAAACTGCCTAAGAAAGGTTCGCGTTCACATTAGATAAAAGTCGAAGGCGCACTCGAAAATGAAATCAAAATAATCCTTATATTTTTATTTTAGCAAAAAGGTACAAATTCTTGATTAGCGTAGGAACCTAAATCAATTTAACCATATTCGTCCGTATGTCGTTGCGCTAGCTTCTTACAGCCCTAACAATTGAATTAGAAGGCTGAACTTTTATATCCATCTGCCTATATCTATCTGCCTGATTGAATTTCTCATATGACATTTGAAAGTGGGTGCAATAACTCCACAAGCACAACATCCACAACATTTAAAGTAACCTGGAAAGGAATCGTTTGAGAAAAACATTCACCACAGTCCAAGGTTATTTAAATTGGCGCAAATATGTCACATATACGCGACGTCGGGCTAGGTCACCTATATGTGACGGTTGTCAGAGAACGATTTATATCCATAAATCTGATATCGATTAGAATGTCATTGACCGTTCACAAAACACTATATGTTGTGGAAGGCTTATAAGATTCACTTCAAGTCGGATATAATATTTTAATGGTTTTAGTTTGATTTGCTTTTTTTTTTTTAATCTTTTTTATATATACTTTTCTAATTTTTAGTTTTTAACCAAAGAACCGAGAACTGTGAAAATTTGTTAGTTACTGAATCAAAATTATTTGTAAAATATATTTACAACCCTAACCGCAAACACCAAAAAATCAAAAGGAATATGTCACTGAATAATTGCCGTTTAAATATTTTGCCTAAAACACCTTGAACCTCACTAAATAAGAATATAAAACAAAAAAAAAAAACAAAAAATATTACACTGAAAATAATTAATAAGTGCACAAAATTTAACCATAAAGTATTTCGTAAGCCTATCAGAGATTCATTCAGTATAGTCCATGCTGTGTCATTTTCTCTATCGGCTTAAACAGTTCTTTAAATATTTCTGGGTGACTGACATAAGAAGAAGATTGCAGGAGGAAAAAAATAGAAGAAGAGGAAGCAGAGCGTAAGCCTATCAGAGATTCAATCATTACAGTCCATACTGTGTCATTTTTTTTATTAGCTTAAACAGTAACTTCAATATTCCAGTGCAATAGAAGAAGAGGATTGCAAGAGGAAAAATAATTTGCTTTGTGTCATCATTTAAGACTTGAACTTTTGTAGGGAAAAAGACAAGCATTAGTAAATCTTGACTTTTCTCAGAGCAACTAGTTTCCTGCAAGTTCTTAACATGACTTTTCATTTTTCTTTTCTTAGTCTAACAATCTTCACGTCTTTGTTGTTACAGTTTCCTTTAATAGACTCAAGCCCTTATTATTCCCTATTTACATTAATATTAGAAAGCTTCGAATTGAAGACTAATATTCGATATAAGTACTGATAGGGTAAAAAATTGATTCTTTTAATAGATATTACGTCAAAGAGTAGAGTCTAAGAAGTGTTTCTTATTCTAAATTTCGGAAACAAAACGACAAAATTATTATTATATCCTGTTCGTTCGTTGATCATATATAAATATTGTAAACTTTCAAATTTCAATTGAAATTACTTTCCCGTAATTTGTGTACGGTGTAAGTCGAAAAAAAAAGACGGGGAAAAAAAGAAACTCAATCAAATACAACATAAATAACACATCACCACAACACGACACGGGTAGCACTCAAATCAATTTATTTGCAGTTGCAATCATCGGTCAATGTTGATAAAAACCCAAAGGCAAACAAACAATAATGAACAATAAGAGAAGAACAACGGACAACAACGCAGGGAACTACAAATACTTGCATTAAATTCTTGCGTCGATAGCAAGCAAAACACTAATGAACTTAAAAATCCGAAATTAGTAAAATCTATTTAGTTTTCTCTCTCTCCCTCACTCTCTCACTCTCTGTTCCCCCTTGCCAATGGTTTATCGTAACATTCATTCATTCACATGCCCTAAATGGTGGCAGATGTAGATGAATGTTGTACTATTTTTGTTGACACTAATGCTGCACTGTTTGTGTTGCATGCTTTCAATGTTAAAGAACAGCGGAAAAATACAAAAAAAATAAAAATAATAATAATAAAAAAATAATAATAAATTATGGGGTCAATAAATTCGCTTGAAATGCTTGTCTCTTCTTCTGACGGACTGGCAACAAGTGGTCTTGACATTCATTTTATACGTAAAATATGAATTTTCTGAAATTATTATTACTTTGTATTGACAAATAACAATTACTCGCCAAAATTCTATAAAGAGGCTGCAACACAACAGACAGAGGCTGCGTTGTTGCGCTAGCTTGCCAACTTTATTTAACTCTTGCACAGCATTCGCCTGATGTGGTTAACATTCTTGCGTTCGACTCAAATAAGTTTTCCAGCTATATATGAACTTCCGCACTAGACACTAGTAGTGTCTCATCGACTTTCTTTAACCATGCATATATCGGGAGTACAGATTTCATCGTTACATTAATCGGCAATTTTTTTCGCATTTGAGATCCTCATTTCATTTCTAGTTTAGTTAGCAGTTTAGTAGAAAAATGATGTTTTGATGATGAAATTGACTGATTACCAACTCCGCAGCATGTCACATTTAAATGATGAGAGGAGCGCGAGCGATGTCTGACCGAGAAAGCATTGACAAGATGAGCTTAAGAACAAAACAAGAAGAAGAAAACCCCGGAAATTTATTTACGTAACCTTGATGCGGTAAAAAATAAACAAATAAAAGAAGAGGTGCAAAAGTAAGTCTCATCATACATTCGGGGATCAAGAACTTCCTAAGTTTCCGGGCGTGCTAAGAGAACACATTTACTTTACCAATAGCTAGGCAAGAGAACTTACTATTTAGGAATAGCTAGGCAAGAGTATAGGTCTAGTATAGCTAGGCTTAAAATCTCTGAGAGATACGATTCACAAATTTACACTAAATAAGTCTTCACGCAAAATTGTGAAAAATAATTTTCTTTCTCCACACAATTGCCGTTCGAGTGCACGATTTTGTTTTCGTAGCCAAATCAACAAACTATAGATCGTTTTTGACGTCTATTGTGCTAACAATAGCATAAATTGCACAAAAACTCATTTCAGACTCATAACACAATACAAACGATAAGAAGGGCGTAATTTTTATTTTCTTCTTCTTCTCAATGGTAACACTTATTTAAGTAGCTATTCGCGTAGCTCGTAGCACTTCATTATGAGGCAAAATTTGCAAATTTTCCAAATCATTTGTCAAAAGCCTCATTCGGACCACCACAAACTTTAGTGCATTGTCTTCAATTTAGGTTAATCATAAAGTATATAGCTCTGTTTACAGACATTCAAATGATCAAAGCATCTACCCCTGGTTTTGCATGGAATGCAATATGTTCACCAAAAGTGATTGTTTGGAGAAAAGCTTATATTGGAAGCTTCACTAATACGAACACAATTTTAATGAATATATGAATCATAACGGTGAATGGCATTAATATGTCAATCTTCAACAATAGGAAGCACAATACCGCAGGAAAAATTACGGACGAATTAAACGAACTACTAGAAATGAAATTCACAGTGGAGCGTCCTTAACCCTCTATACATCTCCTTCGGCATCCAAAAAGGACTCAACCATTAGATTGTTCGACAAAATGCACTTAATTTTCTTACTGCAAACATTCTCCATATGTTACACCACTTGTGATGTATACAAAATATTATATATAATATATATGCAGTCATGAATTATGATAATGAGTTATGAGTTTGTAATATAAATTCTTCTTTAGAGCTTAGGGTTGATAACAAAGACAATTGATGATGCAGGTCACATGATGTTTATTATTGATTTATTAATGACTCCATCATGTTGATCTTTCTTAACTAGTGGTTATTTGTGCTATAACAGTCCATTCTGGAGTTAAGTCCAGAAGATTGATATCAAGCTATGGCTATTTAGGAATTATTGATTTATGGATTTATAAATGTTGAAAAAAGACTATTTGAGAGGACAAAAAGTTTAATTATAATTATGGTAATTCAAAAGAAAGAAGACTTAGGAGTTTTAAAAAAGCCGCTTAGCTGCTTAAGATGTGTGATGTTGCGAGTCAGCAAGATTTCATATATATTCTTATAGATACCGAAAATCTCAAATGAATATGTAGTGTTGCTGAACTTACTGCAGATAAAAACAAGATGCTTAGCTGATTATTTTGTGTGACACTCATCATATAGACCAGAATGCGCCCTCCAACCACCTTTAAATAAACTATGATGTATGTATGATTGCCAAGCAGCTTAATCTTCCTTTTGGAAAAGTTGGCATTGGAAGCAGGTCCTAAAAAGACTTTCCAGTCTTACATGGAATTATTTCAAATTAGACGGAAGCCGTCTTTGGCGGGATATTTGATTCAGAAAGTCTCTCTAACAAGCCGAGCGCTCACAAGATTTTAACTATTTTATAATGTTTACTGAAGACGATGAAAGCCAAAAATTTTTCTACATTATTAATAACGGCCAATGCACGAAATGGAAGAGAGGTTTTACAAAACAAATACTGACAAAGCTTATACTACTATTTTTGCTTTGTGATTTTCTACTTAATGAAAAAAAACACATTACCATGCGAAAAAATTCGCGAAAATTTTTAATAAATTTTTATGAAAATGTCTTCAGGAACAATTTGCTTTCGTTTCGTACAACACGTAACCCTTTGTTCGCTTATTTAGCTAACTATCTACTATTAAATAAATTTCTTCTATTTATAGCGCCAGTTAATGGAAGCTTATATAAAACAAAAACGTGCCTCGCCAGGTATGGTACAAGCCAGCGACTTACAAATAAATCGTCCAATGTCAGGTATAAAGACAAATAATCGCGAATTGCACGCCTATGATGGGCCAATGCAATTTATGAGTTCATTGCAAAATCCTGATCAAGTTATTACCGGCAGCAATTCAGCGATAAATCAAAGCAAACACATCGCCAATAATTCGAAACATTTGAAAACGCCAAATCGCATTAACACAAATCAGCCGAAAGGTTGGATTAAATAGATCTTAGCGCAATTTAAGATTAATCGAAAAAATCTCATTCTTTCAGATATAATTGAAGATATTTCCACCTATGATTTAGAAGATGAGGAAAGTAGCCCTATAGTGATGATGTGTACAAAATTAGAAACACCACAACATCATAAAAACGAAAGTCATTCCGCGGGCTCATCACATTTACCTCAACCTAGATCGAGGCAGCAGTCTTTCGACGAAACTCTCGATGATGAGGACTACACTAATCAAAATAATATTGCACAAGCAGCTCCAATAATGCCAGCGAAGCATTTAACGACGCCCAATAATAGCCAAGCAGGCAATTCGACGAGTGTAGACAGTATAGGGTCTCAAGACAATCAGGAACCTGAAGGCGAAATAATCGGCAATATTGAGCAATTTGTTACACAGCCAGCCGTTCAATCTGTTTTGTATAAATGTCGTATTACCCGCGATCGGAAAGGCATGGACAGAGGTCTATTTCCAATATATTATTTACATTTGGAACGTGATTACGGTAAAAAGATATTTTTATTGGGTGGACGCAAACGCAAAAAGAGCAAAACCTCCAATTATATTATTAGTTGCGATCCAACCGATCTCTCACGTAGTGCCGAAGGTTTCTGCGGTAAACTAAGATCAAATGTGTTCGGTACTTCATTTACAGTCTACGATAACGGGAGCAAAGATGGGACAGAAAATCCACGTTCAGATTTGGCTGTCATTATTTATGTAAGTCAACCACGAAAAAAAAAATAATGATAAAAGTCAATAAAAATTTATTTCTCTTTCTCTCTCCCTCTCCCGCATAGGACACCAATATATTGGGTTTCAAAGGGCCGCGTAATATGACTGTCATATTGCCTGGTATGACCGAAGATGATCAACGAGTTAAAATTAGTTCATCGGATCCCAAGCAACAAGGCATCATGGATTTGTGGAAGAGTAAAGTAAATTTACTAAGCTTTAAACTTTAGTTAATATAATTAAATTTAATTAATTTTATTTTCCAGAATATGGACAATATCGTTGAATTACATAATAAAACACCGGTTTGGAACGATGAAACTCAGTCATATGTTTTGAATTTTCATGGCCGTGTAACACAAGCGTCAGTAAAAAATTTCCAATTAGTTCACGATTCTGATCCGGAGTATATTGTAATGCAATTCGGCCGCACCTCGGAGGATCTATTCACGATGGATTACCGTTATCCATTGTGCGCTCTACAAGCGTTTGCCATTGCTCTGAGTAGTTTTGATGGTAAAATAGCTTGTGAATGAATAGGAGAAGAAAATCGCGTACACTATAACGACAAATAAGAATCGAGATTTTACGAACACCGGCAATGCAAACTTTTTATTTATTTGGCCCTATGAATAATGGATTAAAAAATTTAACGTCAACGAACATGAAACGCTTTAAGACCACTTTTGGATTATTAAGTCACTCCACAAACTTTTCAAAGAAAGATAAAAAAGTTTTAACTTAGAATGTCCGCTAGAAAAACACTCACGCATTTTCCTTTCAACTTGAAGTTCTTTTTTTAAAATTGTCTTCATCTAAAACACTTTCCCGTAATGATAATAAGAACTCTAAGATTTTAGACACCTTTGCTTTTGAAGACTAAGTGGGGTTAAGTTTAATAATGAATTTCTCTTTTATGCTCGTTCATCCTCAGTAAAACAACCGAATCTGGACCTAATCACAGCCTTGGAAGGATGAGAGGATACTAAATGTAATCGTCCGTTTACGATGTTCTCTGTCGAATCTATTACGATTGTCTGCCGGGTGTTTGCCTTCGTAGTGCTTAAAAGTTACAAAATTTCAAACAAGCCAATGATTCTCAGTCGCCGGACAAACCTAACCTTTCTACAGGTGCAGGATTTCTCAAGTATAAACCTTCTACTTAAATGGGGTTAACACTGTCCAGGATCATCTAAAAGTATTTACATAGCTTTGATCGAACATAATGGCATGTTTATTATAAGAACTTTGAAATTTGTGATTGAAACCAGCATTAAGAAGAGTTTCGCTCCAACATGGAGATAATTATCTTCTTTGAGTTTTCTTTGACCTAATTCCCTTAGACTTCATACATTGTTATTGTTACTATAGTGTTTGGATTTCTTTAGATCAACGAGATAAATTCTGGAATTAAACGAAAAAACTAGGTGTTTCCAGTTACTATAAGACTGCACTGTCGCCAATCTTGACAAATTAAAAAATAAATGCTCCTAGACGTTTAAAAAAAAGGGGTTGCGTTCTGCAACAACTTTCAAAGGGCGATTTCGGATTGACAAAAAAGCTTTCTCAGTCAGAAAGTAGGCGATTTATTAAAATATTGTGTCTATAAATCTTAGTGTTTTAATTTTCTTCAGCTGAATATAGCAGTGGAATATGGTTAGGGTCAACGTAGAGGTAGTATAAACCAAATTTTTCTTTAACTTATCTTCCGATATATCTCTGAGGATTTACTTTTCCCATAATATCGTTCGCAACTAATGGTACGATGCCTCACTTTGTTGACGGCATACCACTGAAATTTGATAAATTTCGGATAGCTTTTGTTATCGAAAGCCTATATGAAATCACAATAGTTATAATTGATCTGATCTATTATCAATTGGTATAAGTATAAAATATTAATGAGAACGAAACTTTACATATCTCCTCAAACAAATGAGATGTCCTCGTCTGATTAATACGATTAACACTATTTGACTTAGAAATATTTACTCCGGAAGGTCTTTTAAGAATACACAATAATTATGCTCTGAATGGAAAAAAGTACATACTGATGAAGTTCGAGTTTGAATGTCTACCAGAGTTTACCAACCCACTTTTTAATTCAGGACTAATTTCTAAATTTTAAACCTTCTTAGTCAATATTGCTTACTGAATTTTGGTTTCATTCCGAAACTATAGAAACCAGCGCCAGTCACTTCCCTTTTCTCACCCATGTCCGCCGCCTTCGACTATCGTCTCCTACACAGTAAAAACAGCGCCATTTATGGATCGCCCACCGCTGCTTGCCCTTCTGTCATGTATTGTGTAAGCTGCAGTGTTTACGGAATGGTTGAATTTTATTTCGCCAGAGCGTGCAAAATTTGTTTACCTAATTTTTCAAATAATGGCCTCTGACTCAGGCATGTCTGCTGCCTTTTGCTATCGTCTCTTATATAATGAAAACAGCGCAATTTATGGATCGCCCACTGCTGCTTACTCTTTTATCATTTACTGTAGAAGCCGCAGCGTTTATGGAATGATGGAATTTTATTTCGCGAAAGGGTGCAAAATGTTTTTGCCTAATGTTTCCAACTTTGAGCAATCGTCAAAAGGGGTTCATTGTTTTCGTATATCCACTTTACCAAAAGTTGCAATGTTTACGAAAGATTCGACAGAAAAAAACAAGGTCCATAAGAACAATTTGATGATCGCCTATGAAAACCCGTGAAGTTGTAAAATTCTTCATAACATACTTTCAGTGCAACAATAACGAAATAACTTTTCTTTCAATACTAGTGGATGTGTGGAGTGAATGTATCTTCATTGGCTTTTTTTGCAGTGTACTTGCTATATTATAGTTAAAGCTCTCATTGAAGATGATATCTAAGACTTTTTTTTTTCAAATCAATCAATTCGATATATTTATTTTGTAGTTAAGTATATATTAATTGTATTGTTCTATTTAATTTGGAGTCACCATAAATGTCTAATCTAGTCATGACGAAACCGTGAACTTTGTATTGTAAGTAAACTATTTATTGTCTAAAATTACTCACCGATATAATATCGTTAAGGTTCAAAATTTAATTGAAGTATTTACCGATGCATTTTAGCAAAAATATATAAGTGACACAACAAATTGTAACGAAAGAATCAAATTAAAGAAAAAATAGTCCTATTATATGTACATTGTTAAAAAGATATATTCAATATTTTTTGATAAATTTAAAGACACTCATATACCATGATGAATATGTATGAATGTATCCTTTCTTAAAGTCAAAACTTCGACTTGATTATGATTACTAAGTAAAATAAAAAATTTTGCAATTTTTTTCTCTTATTTGAGATTTCGTTTGTGTTAATTGTTATTTTCTAAAGTTGAAATTCTTTGATGGTTAATGTAAATGTAATGTTGAATGTTGTATAAAAATTTCAATGAATTATAAAACATATTGTTTCAAAGTTTAACATTTCAAAGGTAAGATAAGATTTTCATTCAACTTTATTCTTAAGTGAATAAATATATTTTTCCTCTTGGACGACAAAGTCAGTTACACTGGTTGGAAATATTTCCTGCAAATCTCCATAATGGATAGTTTAGTTTAGCTATAACAACTCATCCCGTTGGTTACTCTTCCTCTCTTCACTGTGGCAATCGCCACCAACACGAAACTGGTCAATAAGTACCGGAACTGACGTAATGATAACATCTCTAATAAAAAGATATTCATGTCATGTATAAAAAGTGCCAACTCTCAAATTGAGTCCATCAAAATTTGGCGTACTTTAATCACAGCACTTTTCTTATCTTAAAGACAATGGCAAAATATGGATGTCGTACGCTAGTTAAACATTACTTTTTTAAGGATGAAAAGTGCCATCCAAACACTAGTAATTCTTCCGCGTCGAAAATAACCATTCGTCGGTCAGTGTTTGACTAATGCTATACAAGGGCGATGTTCGAAAGAGGCGGATTTTGTACAAAGTACGGGGGATTTAGTACAAGGTGAGTAGTACTTTGCTTAGCATTAGCCCTTAGCTCAAAATAGTACTTCAGAAATTCAAACGCGAAGCTCCGAAAATCTTTTGCAATACCGTCATACTTAAGTGAAGTTCCCTAAAAGAAAAGTACTCGAACGGGTCAATCGAGATGAAAGTTGGGCTTTAATTACCTCAAAGAAAATTAACTCAATTCTTCTCAGTACCGAGATGAAAGTTGGGCTTTAATTGCCTCAAAGAAAATTAACTCAATTCTTCTCAGTAGTAGAACTTAACGTTTCGTCGTAGCAAATCCATAGATAATTAGTTAACTCTAATACTTATTACAACGTAAAACGTCTTTTGCAAATTTTACGTCTTTTTATTCAAATCCTTTGGAAATTAAATTCGTACAATAAAACTATGTTTTTTATGATAGTATAGGATTTATTTACAATTCTCAGGAGATCCATTTACAAATTATTTACAGGAACGTATGTTTACAACGCTTTTATTCATGTTCGAGACTTGTCCATTCGCGAGCTCCAATTCAAGTCCCTTGATTCGATTCTCCTCTTCTTCCGCAAATATTTTGCCTATATTCCCTTTTCCAAGAATGCTACCATTACCTAATCCATTTTCCGGTCGTTCCGCCAGTCGCCAGTTGCAAGACGCAGCTAAAGCGTCATAAACGTCTTTTTGGCTTTCCCTTTCTTTTCGATTTGGTTGTTTAGAAAGCCGACTAATATTCAAGAAAACTCAAATCATCAAGAAGAAGAAGAATAGGCACAGGTTAGATGCACAAAGATGAAATATAAGGTAACGCATGCCTTCAGGACAGGAATTGAAACAGGCGAGGAGGCAGAAATTGTTCCAAGAGATGCGTTTTTTTCGATTTCGTAAAAATGCACTTTCGAGCTACGCTAGGAATCAGCGCCCAAAGCGGGAAAATTTTTCCATTGCAAAGTTCTCACCGACAGAAACTACATTGTTGTTCTTAGTAGTTCCTTATTGCGATCTTAATTTCATTTTACGTTCTCTAAGTTTTCTCTTTACACTTTCACATACGTACATATGCTTGACGAGATCACCCGAGCCTTGCTAGGTCATTTATGACTTCTATCCGAACGAAAATCTCATTTTCATCTTCGAAGTTGTGCTGGTAAAGCATTGAAATAAGCACCAAAGGTTGCTATGTCGCGATCGCTGTATCTCTATCGCCTTTCTGTTCACCTATTGAAGTCGTTTCCGCTATTACGTCTAGAAGAACCAGATTGCCGTCAATAGTTTACATTGCACCACGGAATTGCGGTGGTAAGAAAATTTAAATTTTTTGTATCTCGCAAGTTCACAGATGCAGACTTGGATATATTTAGCCCTAGTTGACGCACAGAGCCTATCTGTATCGACGACATTTGTTCTCTTTATTATCGTTGCTCTTAACTCATTCTAATTCAATCAACACTTGATAGCAGACTGTTCCTGAATTATCTTACTCTCCGGGAATCACTTCATGTCGTACTTTTGAAGGACGCGCAATCCTTATTTGTACTAACGTAATGTTAGTAATGTTGATTTTACGTCGTTTCCGCGTCGTTTATTTCGCTTCTAAAGCGCTACACGAATTATACCTTTTCGTAAGCAGACGTATTTACTCCTACCATTGAAGGAAGAGCGTATATTAATTTGTCAACACAACAACCTTCAAAAACCCCACAAACCAGGTATATTCTTGATTAGCACCAAATTCTGATTCGATATAAGTCGGTCCGTCAATCTGCCTATGTAGTTACTATAGTAAACATTTCAATAGCCTCACAAATGAAGCTATCGCTCCAGATTGAGCAAAGTCATTGAAAGTTCTTGCAGGTTCGAATGAGACATGAATCCATCGGCCAGAGGGCAAGCCTGTAGTGCAAACAAACTAAGAACATGTCTGCTTTTTGAATTTTGTGACAAGTACTCTTAAGCTACAATGTACATATGTTAAACGTATAATCTGCAAAAATGAAAATATCACCCGCTTCCAATCAAGAGATATATAAAATAAAGGTGGGTTTGGTCATACCTAAAAACAATTTTCTGACTTATCTTACTTGTACATTGAATTTAATTTATGCGAAATACGTTCTCATTCGACGGCTGGTGAACAACCACTCTTCTTCCGAGAGGGGGACTACATTTATCAATTCTTCACCATCCCAATGAGATAATTTACCACCACCACCACAATCCCTTCCCCTTCCAACTTTCAGCGTACTTAATCTTGTTCTAAAATACGCAGTACAAATATATTATGCGATTCATATCCCTTCAATTAAAGTGGTTGTCTGAATCCCCCCTCCTTCATCCGACAGGCGGACTACAATCCTCTCATGGTTGGCGTATCCGACAACTCCCGATTTCGTTTAAAGCCAATTCTTTCCCTTCCCAATGAGATAACATGGCGCACCCCACCCCCCGTACTTAATCTTGCTCTAAAATACGCTGTACAAATATATTATGCGGTTCAGTTGGAGCGGTCGACTGCATCCCCAGTTCTTATGATCCAAATGTATCTCCAAATTCAACTTAGCCAAGTAAAATTGGCATTCGCCAATACATAATTACAATGTCTCTCTAAGGTAAAGCACACTTCTGACAGAAGCGAATGTACAACACTATGGCTGTTATCTTTGTAAGATAAAATTTGCATTATTTCAAATCTATTGGATGGGATCGAAGCGAGACACTCCATTTTTTCAGTGTGTTTTGAACTTTATCCTCTAAATTTTTTCTACAATCAAATCCATGCGTGGACATCGAGCGTAGAGCATTGGAATCATCTTTTCGTAAATTGTTCTTTTCGAGAAAACAAGGTAGATAATAAAATAAGATTTGAAGGAATTTTCACATTAAATATGAGTATTATTTTATTTCATTTCTGTTATTTCTTTAGAAATATTGCGAATACGTATATTTGAGTATAATTTAATTTACAGCACACAATTATATTTATGAACGTCATGCATGCACAATTGCAGATCGATTGCTGAGAATGAAATGTTAATTGTTTCGATTATCGAGTGAGTATAAAGGTTTCCTTTTTTCTGTTTTTTTTTTTTTTTTTACTTTAATATACAACGGGATATTTTACACATTTCGATTAATTAAATTAATTTCCAAGTGTATCATTTCTTCTATTAATGCGAGTATCAAAATGTGTAATTGTTTACATTTATATTTATATCTATATTTGTGTATATATATATAGAGATTTATTCAAGTATATACGGACATACATATATATATATATATATATCGTTGTATGCAATATCTATATATATATGTATATATATATATATATATATACATATATATTTGTGTGTT